CCCAGACTGTGTCAAGGGGTGCCCCCAGACTGTGTCAAGGGGTGCCCACACTTTTTCAGCACGCGAGCTACTTTTAAAATGACCAAGTCCAAGTGATCTACTTACTATAAAAATACAAAACATATACTTATTTATAAATATGTTAAGTATGCTTTTTATGTTTTATGTTCTTGGTTTTAGTATTTTACCATGTTTTAAATGGCACCTTGATTTATTGTTTTATAACACTACTTTTATTTTAATTGCATTTTACTGTAGTTTATTGTTGTCTGTACTTTATATGTTGTCTGTCTAAAACAGGTCTCTCTAGTAAATGAGTCCTCGTGACTCAATGACACTAACCTGGATAAATAAAGCTGAAACGAATGAACATGTCCCAGCTCGCTGTGGACGCAACATAAATGATAAAACCCAAAAGTTTGTTAAAAAAAAGTGACAATTTATTTTTACTGTCCACGTACAAAATAATTAACACAACCCAGCAATAACTTCTGTTCTTCACTCACTCAACCTTTATTTAAACAGATAAGCCTCATTTAGCCTCGAAGACTCATTTACAAGTGCTCTTCACATAAAGGAACAGAAAACCACAAAAATAACTTCATGTTTGTAAAATAACTACAATAATAAAAGTGAAAATTCAGCCCTGACAGCAGCTGCTTTTAACTGTAACCATATTTCTTGATACCTGAGAGCTTTGATAGAAGATAATATTTCTGGTTTGTTTTTAAAGTCTCTGAACGACGAGTCAGCTGCTACAACGAATAACTTTTTACCATCTCTCCGTCTTGAGACTTCTTGTGCTCAACAATTATTAAAGTGGAATGATGCTTCGCTGCTGGTCAGCTGTAGGAAAAATGACAGATAACTGGGATTTTAGTTCATTCACTGTTTTCTTTCTCAGCTCACTTTTCAGAAGGAAGTCAGTGCCGTAGTATTTATGAGTACAATCTGAAAATGCAGGTACACTTGCAGATGAGACAAACGCTCTTTAAATATGACATCGTGGAAAAAAGTATGGAAATGGTAATTTTTTGCTTCTTACTTGTTCCGGCTCCCCAACACATTTCACACACTTTTTTGGATTGATCGGCTGACGTGTATAAAAAAAAACATTTAAAGAATTTTTTTTTTTTTAAGCCTGATTTCTATTACAGTGCGATCTACTGAAATTGCCTTTGCGATCGACTGGTAGATTGCGATCGACTGGTAGATTGCGATCGACGTACTGGGCACCCTGGTGTAAAGAAGCGTCCATTTATAAGCTTATCAGGCTGAGGCGAGGCCACAACAACCTCTGCTTTCCAGCTTGGAGGTCTTGAAGTTGATCAGGTGTGCAGGCTCCGTGCTCCTGCAGGCTCCTCTCTGTTCACACAAAACAACTCTTCACTCCTCACATGTGTTCCTACATTAATTTAACATTAGGAAGTGATAACATGTATGACTTTGACCTAAATTCCCCTGACATTCAGTTATCCTGGAGAGATTCAGAGTAGAACCATTGTCTGATAGCTGTCCTCCAGCTGGCCAGGTGTGATGATGTCACTTACTCTGATATCACAGGAAGGACAGGAAGATGGCTCTGATGCAGCTGGCGTCTGTGGAGGAGGCTATTGAGGCTCTGATTGAGCTGCACGACCACCAACTGGACCACAACCAGCACCTCCGTGTCTCCTTCTCCAAGTCCACCATCTGACAGCCGCCCCCTTGGAGCTCGGCAGCCAATCAGAGCGCGGGACCTCTCGATTGGCCCTCGGCAGCAACAGACAGACCAATGGAGATCAAAACTCTGTGCCTGCAAGCCGCCTGGCATGGACCACAACTCGTCATGGTTACAGAGCACATTCCAGATCAGGGCAGCAGAGCATTGTGGGTAACGGAGTCCAACAAAGAGCTGGAGTGAGTGTGAAGCTTCTGTGTTTAAATGTTTACTTTATGTGTATCAGAAAAAGAGTCATCAGGAAAACAGAACCTGCCTTTTACCAGAACTGCTCTTAGTGCAAATGTTTCCAAATATTTGTACAAAGTTTTATCTTTATGTTTTTATGTTTCATTAAACGGGCAGAGGCCTCCATGTTTAACTGCCCCCCTCTTAATGCTGTTATTGATGGTATCAATAGTCTGTGAATAGCAAGCGGCCATCAGGGCACTAACGATCAGTCGTTAGGCTGACGGTCCTCCTTTTGCATGTGAACATCTAGTTCTGGATGTCAACAACAAACTGGTTGATCCACTATGAGAAGGTGCTGTTTACAAGACTGAGTTTGTTGCAGCTCCTCAGACTGAAGTCTTTTGGATAAAAGACGAAATGTTTCAACAAGAATCTGTCCAGAGAACCTGAGTTAAACTGGATTTTAATGTTTCAGTTTTTTTTATCTGATCAGCTGTACAAGTTTTTTTTTTCTTCCTGCTGAAACTTTGTTGACTTGTTTTGTAAACAAATGTCTCTGTGTCTTATGTTCTGGGTTTTTCCAGCCTGGGGGGTAGGGGGGTGTCTAGGGTTTTCATAATTGTTTTGTTGCAATGCATTCTGGGAAGGTCCTTTAATGTTGGAAGTATTTATACTGTAAAAGTAACGTGGACGTCCGGCCCTCCTGCTGCACCTGTGTGAGTGAGCCGAGCTGATTGGTGGAGTTTAGGGGGCGGGGTTGCTATTAGTTTTAATTTAATCTGAAGAACCAATATTTAACTTTCTGTTTTGAGTTGTGTTTGTAAAACAGGAAATGAGCCACTAAAAACAGGAAGCTGCCTTTGACCTTTGTGCAAACACATTTCGACTCAGATCAGGAATGTTAAAGACTGGTACATCCTAAAGATTATTTTTAAATAAATTTGTTGAGGACGAGGTGTGGAAACAAACAGGTTTCTGTGCCTTGAATTCGTGACAACTCGACCCAACTGCAAATAAGAACCTGGTTTTCCTGAGAGAAGCTGATTCATCTTTAAAGTATTTATCTTCAGATAATGTGATAAAAAACCCGTTCTCTCCAAATATTTATTATCTGATGCTTTGGATCCGGACATCATAAATAAAAATAAGCTGTTCTCCTAAAGTAACTCGTTATCTTCAGATAATTGTCTTAATTTTCAGATCTTGACCTAAAAACTTTTTATTTTATAACCCATTTTATTTTTTAAGCAGCGGATTATTTTGGTCTCAGTTTCCAAGCCCGACTCGGTCTGTAGAAATATTTTATAAATAATAGACAAAGATGATTTACTAAGAAGCAGAAATAAAAGAACTGAATATTCATTTGAGTAATGTTTTTACGGTAGGTCTCATATTTTTGTTAGTTCAATTAGCCGTCATATGACCTGTCAGTAAATTATTGTTCCTGTATTTATTAATTTAATAAAGTCATGACTTAAGATCAATTGTGTGAGAAGCTGAAACTGCTGGGCCTTCATCGTGAAACCAACCTTACTGCCCCTGGCAGGACGCGACGTCTCATCTCTGAATGTTTGTGGTGCATTGTGGGAGTCAGCGGGATGTTGTCACTCCCTGAACTGTTGGAAATCAGCAGCAATGCATGATGGATAAGTTTTTGAATCTTTATTTATTCTGAAAGGTGTGACAGGATGTTGTAGCATGAATCACTGAATAAATAATTCTTATGACCAATGACTCCGCTCCATCAGTCCAAGCTCCGCCCACAACCTGTCCTGGAGTCCAGGACTTCCAGGGGACGCTTTGTATGGACAAAGCTTTATTGTTCCAGTGTGAATGCACAGTCTCAGTTGTGATTGGTCGGTTCAGACAGCAGATACTGTACTTAAAAAAAATTATTTACAAATAAAAGTTCAGACGTAGGTTCATCCGACAGCTGATGATGTCATCACACAAACCCCTGACAACGCGCACACACGTGCACTCACACACACGAGCTTCAGAGAAATGTGTTTGGTTCTTTTTGGTCCTTTTATTAAATGTTGAAATGTTTCGACCTTTTTTTGTTTTTTAATCAGAATACTGGGGTTTATTTATTTGTTAGTTTGTTTACAACAACACATCTCTGATTTTTATTTTTCTAAAATTTTGAGAAACTTTCTGAATTTCAGATGTGTTTTTATCCTGAAAACAGAATTTTCTTTTTTTCAAAGTGCATTTTGTTCCCGTTTTAAGGATTAACCGTACGGTTGTTTGTTAAAGCTGGACTGAACCAAACGCCTGCAGGCCTGTCCGCAGAGAACCTTAAAGATGGATTTCTCTGCATGGCCAACCTGAACAACTCTGAGTCCAACAGAACCAGTCTCCAATAAACTTAAACTTTTTTTTTACAAACAGCTGCAGATATCTAAACTTTTATTTTGAAATCCTATTGACTTCCTGTCCTGTCACTTCTAGTTGGGTCAGCCGGTTCTAGGTGGTTTTCTTACTGGTCCACCAGCAGCTCATTGGTTTGTGAGGAACTCAATCAGCCAATCAGAGTAGTCTCCTAATCGATCAGCCAATCAGAGCAGTTTTGGGTTGTTCAGGAACAAGAAACATCAAATCACCTTTTGTCACATTTCCTGTAAATGTCACAATAGTAAAGAGCTGTTCTGATCTTCTGTTCTGGATTCTGCTTTAGTTTTTTTTGTTTTAAACGAGCCGACCAGGAGTCAGAGTTGTGGCTGCTCCTTCCTGATTGGCTGTTTTTTGATCAGTGATTCAGTGCGATGCTTCCCCTAATTTTCTTTTTGTTCTTCATTCCTGTGCTCCGATTGGCTCGCTCTGCCGTTTGTTTTTAGCACCAACAGAAACATAAATAGTTAAAAACACACACACACATACACACACACACACACACACACACACACACACACAGAGGTTCCTCTCATATAAAACAAGCATCAGTCTGTCTGCTCCTTCCCTCTGTGACAATGATGATGAGCAGGGCATCGCCATGGTAACTACACGTCCAGGATCTCCTCGGCGGTACCGCCGCAGCGCAGCCGGTATCGGCTGGTTCTCCAGCTGATGGTCGGGTCCCACAGAGCAGACAGGAAGATCTGGACTGCCATGGACTCCCGGATGAACCAGGCCACGGCAAAGTCCAACTTGGAGAAGGTCAGAGGACCACCCTGCGTGATGTCATCAATAAATCACTCAATCTGTGCATCTGTCAATCTAAAGTGAGGAGGAACCACCAATAAGTCTTTTCAGAATAAAAGCCTTAAGTACCTGGACTCCAGTGAGCTGGATGTAGTCTGCGATGAACCATGCCAGACAGTGACACATGAAGAAGACCATCATGTCCCACCTAAGACACAAACACACTCAGCTGATCAGTTTCCATGGAGACAGCAGACCCATGGCCCCGCCTCTACTGAAACAGGAGTTCTGGAGAATCTAGATGAGGCTCCAGCTCAAACCCAAACCAGAATCTCCGACTTTCTGCTGACTGAGTTGAACTTGGCATAGGCCCCGCCCCTAGCTCTAACCATCAGCGTGTTACAGGTGTTTTAAGTTCCGCCCACCAGCTCCTATACCCTGATTGGTCGTACCTGAAGACGTGATGAGCGGCCCAGCCGATGATGAGGCTGGCAAGGAAACACTCAGAGACTGGCTCCAGGACCGTGGCCGGAACCATGTTGATCCGCAGCTTCGTCCACCTGTTCAAACAAACTTTATTAACAGCAATAGGTTACAAATACAAACATTTATTTCCTGGATGAGCAGGAAATGACTTTTGACCTCTTATCTCCACCCTCAAAGCAGAGAGAAACTGGCCAATCAGGTGAAAGCTGAGCGCTCACCTGATCATCCTGGACTGGAACTGACCAATTGAGTACGAGCCTGAGTTCTGCAGAGCCACCTGTGTCGACATGGAGAACTTCCAGCCTCTGTGGAGGAAACAGGAAACGTGTCATTACTTCTTGAATAAATCAGTGTCAGCCAGGTGCTTATGCTAACGGGCTAACCTGTCGGCGATGGCTTTGGCCATGAAGTAATCCTCAGCGATGTACTGAGCAAACGTCACCAACCCGCCCGCCTGATCTAACACGTCCTTTCTCATCAAACATGACATTCCTGTCACGCACTTGATCCCCGTCACGTTAGCAGAGATGTAGGAGCGGGGGTGGGACGTCCCGAAGTACACCTGGGCACAGCCGAGTCTGTGAGCGACTAATCCTCTGACCCCGCCCTGTTAGCAACTAAACCTTGAGCCCCACCCCCTCAGACAATAAACTCACCTGTTCCAGCGTAGCGGCAAAGCCCTGGCGGTCAGCGACATACGGCAGCCCGTGGACAAGTCCCACCTTCTCTGTCATCTGATTGGTCAGATCGGTCAGGGTGTCGGGTTTCACTGAACAACGGAGGTGAAGGTGAGGGAGCAGATATGGGGAACTCCTGGATTAAGGGGTTTCTAAACTGTATTAGAAGTGAAGCCATTTGAATTATTGATAGCTGAAACAAAGTGAACCCTGCAGAGCCAAAGATACGGAACCAATCTGAGAAAACCTGATCGCCACAACTCATCTCTGTGTGATCCAACAGGATCCACCTGGGTCAAAACTGAAACTGACTGAATGTTGGACGCCAGACTCTCAGAGGACACTGGAACTACATCCAGAACCCTCAGAGGCCAGAAAACAAACCAAACTTTTACAACAAACCTCCACAGAAAACTTTAAGATAAAAAAAAACTTTAAAATACTCTGCTGTAAAAAATTTAAATGTTGAAACGTTTGAATGTTAAACGTTACCATTAAACTTTAAAGAAAACAAAGGTTCACAGTTCAGTTAAAACTCTACACTGAAGTGCTAGCAATAAATGCTAATGATGTCACCGATGTCATCTGCAAAGACTGAAGCAACATTAGTAAATATAAAAAGAAAAGCCAAAAGAGCTCATGCTCAGATTCTGGTTCTGACCTTTGATGCCGCTGTCACAGATCCACACCAGCCCATATTTGGCTCCTTCGTACCCTGGCATCAAGTTGTTGATCTTAGGGTTGATTCCAACCTTCTTCCCCCCTGAAAACCAACAACAAGCTCACGCTAGAAGCTAACAAGGCCAAAATAACCGTTAATAACAAATGATGAGCAACAAAACAATGAACATAAAACAACAAAAGGTCATCTACAGAAAAGAAAACAAAGCTTCACAAAACAAATATTATGCAAAAAACTAAAATATCAATAACAAACAAAAGATGCTTCACTCACCGATGAACAGGCGGGCGTCCACGTTCGGATATTTACCCAAAAGTTTCTTACAGACGTCCACGGCTGGATCATCCAGATCCTGAACGCAGAGCAGGACCTCGAACTGAAAACACACACACCTGAGTTACCACCAACACACACACGCACACACACCTGAGATACCACAAACACACACACGCACACACACCTGAGTTAAAACCAACACACACCTGAGTTAAAACCAACACACACACGACTTACAACCAACACACACACACCTGAGTTAAAACAAACACACACCTGAGTTAGCACCAACACTTACGCACCTGAGATAAAACCAACACACACACACCTGAGTTAAAACGAACACACACACACGTGACTTACCACCAACACACACACACGTGACTTACCAGCAACACACACCTGAGTTAAAACGAACACACACAAACACCTGAACCACCACACACACACCCGAGTTAAAACCAACACACACACACCTGAGTTAACACCAACACACACCTGACTTACCACCAACACACACACACAAACACCTGACTTACCACCAACACACACGACTAACCACCAACACACCCACCTGAGTTCACACAAACACACACCTGAGTTACCACCAACACACACACCTGAGTTACCAGCAACACCTGAGTTAAAACCAATACTCACGCACCTAACTTACTACCAACACACACACACACACACACCCAAATTAACACACACAAACCCTACCACCAACACACACACACCTCAGTTACCAGCAACACACACACACACGAGTTAAAACCAACACACACACACACACCTCAGTTAACAACAACACACACCTGAGTTACCAGCAACACACACCCGAGTTAAAACCAACACACACCTGACTTACCACCAACACACACACACAAACACACACACACCTGAGTTAGCACCAACACATACGCACCTGAGTTAGCACCAACACACACACACAAACACCTGACTTACCACCAACACACACACACACCTGAGTTAAAACCAACACTCACGCACCTAACTTACCACCAACACACACCTGATTACCACCAACACACACACATCTGAGTTACCACAACACACACACCTGAGTTAAAACCAACACTCACACACCTGAGTTACCAGCAACACACACCTGACTTACCACCAACACACACACCTGAGTTACCAGCAACACACACACACGACTTACCACCAACACACACACCTGAGTTACCAGCAACACACACACACGACTTACCACCAACACACACACCTGAGTTACCACCAACACACACCTGAGTTAGCAGCAACACACACACACACCTGAATTAGCACTGTGCGTGAGTGAGTTGTGTGACTGTGCGTCATGTGTGTGTTTTCTTGTATGTGTGTGTGTGGTGGGGGCATGGGGTAGAGTTGCATTCGGGCCTAAAACAAATTAAAATCCAACCCGGTGCTAGCTCATAGGTTTTTTTTCTAAGCTCGACCAGTTAACTGTAATTTCAGGCCCGAACCTGAAAAAAAAAAAAAAAAAAAAAAAAAAAATTGACTTTTTTTTAATTAAGCTTCTACTGTTTTTGTAAGCAAACCAGTTTAACATTATATTTTTAAAACGTAAAGAAAGGAAGATATAAGATTTCTTGTTTCATCAAATGAATATTAACATACAAAACAAATAGCCTAAAATTCTATTGTAAAGATAAACTATTGTACATATGAACAAAACTATTTTTAGAGCTAAATTATTTTGAAAAATATAGAACAAGTCTATTTTAATTCATTGCGCTGCTCGCTTCCACTTTTGTAGATGCTGCTACTTCCTTCCACAGATGACAGCAGGTCCCGAGACGTACGCGGCCGGTGATCCAGTGATCCATCTGAAGCTTAAGACTTTTTTTTACCTCTTTCAACCGGCCGGTCAGACCTGCCCCCTCCTCAACAAGTAGATTAACACAATTTTATATTGTGCATTCTTATTTGTGCTGTATGATTGGTAAAACCACATCAATAGCCCGAGACCGACCCGGCCCGCCCATCAAGCACATTATTTTGGCCCGACCCGTCGGGCCCAGGTCTGAAATTGCAGCTCTAGTGTGGGGTGTGGGTGTCTGTGTGTGTTATATGTGTGTGTGCGTGCGTGTTGTGTGTGGTTCTCCTCACCTTGGGGTAGTCCAGAGTGAAGAAGGTCTCCAGGTTGGAGATCAGGTTCGGGTCGACCCCCTTCAGAGGCTTCAGCAGAGACACTCCGGTCACCTGGGAGAATGGCTGTTTGACCTCCGACCTCTTGCTGTGCAGGTGGAGGCGCCTGGAACACAGAGGTCAAAGGTCACACTCATACATCATCAGGTCAACTCACAGGTGAGTCGTCTGATCTGTGAGCCAATCAGAGAACAGGAGGTTCTGTTTACCTGAACTGAGTTCTGTCGGGCTTACGATAACAGATCCTCAGCAGAAGTAAAGATTGGATTTTGTCACAAGAGGAACCTGATAATCTGAGCGGTACCAAACAGACCATTAAAGGAATCCAGGCTTCGGGTCAGGTGACGTTAATGGTTCCAGACCCGGTAATCTCTTCAGAGCTCATAATAACCGTTTAAACTCTGGACCTGTCTGGACCTTTGAAGGTCTGGTGGAATTCAACAGCTTCATGGTTCTGTGGCGCCGAGTCGTCCCACTTCAACACGCCTCAGTCATTTAATAAGTTCTGCAGAACCCCTGAGGTTCTGATGAGATCACCCATCCATGAAAACTCTGTGAGATGGAGCAGAAACATCTAAAACAGACAGTTCCCTTGGCTCCAGAACCAGGGAATTTGGGTCAGAACAGGTCCAGGATCAACACCTAAAACCTAGAGAAACTGAGCAGGGAAAATCCCCGAGGTCCCCAGAACCAGAACCGGTTCTGCTGGCGGTCTGACAGTCCCTGCGTCATCACTGATTATTGGTCGTTTCCTGTTTACAGTTGTGCAATAATCTGTCAATACAGAACCTCCATCCTCACAGAACATCCGAGCTGGGTCGGTGCCGAACCGACGAGGAACTCATTCAGTTTTTATTCAATCAAAGCTCGCGCTCAGTACAAAACCTCTTTAAATCTTGTTGTTTCAATGAAACTCTGTCCTGTCAAGAAACAGGAAACTCTTGGAGCTACAGACCGTGACGATGATCAGAACCGCAGGAAGTGATCGGAACCACACGATCAACTCGCTTTAAACACACCTCATCGATATTAAACATGATTTCACGCGTTTGTGTCCCAGGAGCAGCAGCGAAGCGACCCGAGTCGTTAGCCCGGTCCGAGCTAACCGGCTAGCCGTTAACCGGATACCGCCCCACAGCTAACCGTCTGAGCCGCGGGCTTCCCGGCTGTCAGACCCGCCGGAGGACGTGGTGGCGGAGGTTCGGGTCTCAAATCCGCCCGAACCGGAGCCGAACACAGGGCAGTGTGTGGAGGAAGCCGTTAGCTTAGCTCTGCGGGTTACTTACACGTAGATTATTGACATGAAGTGCATGAGCCACAGCACGGCGAACAGAATGAAGCCGAACAAGGCGAGGCCCTGCATGGCCGCATCCAGCAGGTCCATGGTGGGGCTCCTGGGGGGCCGCCTCGGCTCACACGGGCTCCCACCTGACCCGGACTCAGCTGCGAACCTGAAACAAGAGGAACGGGTGTGTTCGGGCACAGATTCGGCCTCCGGGCGGCAGGAGGAAGTCAGTCCGGGCTTGGCAGCTCCAGCAGCGGGGACTCGGAGGGGCGGCTCGGGGTCCGAGTTCGGCCTGGAGGTCCTGTGTTGAAGGTTCGGTGCGGTTTCTTATTGTTTGACAGTCAGCAGACCGACCCACGGTCAGCTGACCAACCCCGGGAGCAGCACACCGGAAACTGAGCTCCCCTCGTTTCCGGCCGTTTCAAAATAAAAGCATACTATTAGTTTAAACTTGTTTTAGTGAAACTACAAAAAAAAAAAAAAAAATTGTTTTTGTATTTAAGGTTTATGTTTTGTAATGGCTCCGATGTCCCGTGTCATTACTCATTTATAGGGTCCAAGGCTCCTCCTTCGCAGAAGGGGAGCTCAAGCTGTCAGTGTATGAGGGTGCGTGACTAAGCGTGATCTCAGTGGATCTTATGCGGTTCTGATGCCCGTGACTAAGCGTGATCTCAGTGGATCTTATGCGGTTCTGATGCCCGTGACTAAGCGTGATCTCAGTGGATCTTATGCGGTTCTGATGCCTCTTGCTCGGAACAAACCCGCACAGCAGCAGTTTTAGAGTTAAAACTAAATTTACCACACACGTCCTCTCAGGCGGTGTTGTGCCAAAAAGTGATTCTCTGACAAAAACTGATCGGGTGAACTTTTAACACACACACACACACAAGTGATAGCAGAGAGGCAAAAATAAATAAATAACAGCAACATAAAACTTTTTTGGAAAGGTAGTTATAAATTTGACGGAGTATTAGGACCATGCTGTTAAGAAGCATATTTTATGCAGAGAGCATCTTGAAACAGGATCATGTGTAACAATACAAGTGCACAGCTCTAGTGTTTTTTTTTTTTTTAAGCCACCAACACACATGTAGTGTGTGCGTGTGTGTGTGTGTGTGGGTGTGTGTTAAAACCTTGTAATTCATCTAGCATTTCATGTCATGGGTATAGCAACTCTGATTTTAGAAGCATATAATGCAAAATGATATTCTGTTGTAGTTTACACTGTATAGTTTTTAGTCAAATTAAAAATACTCAGTGTTAAATAATGTTTTCTCTTTTAGCTTCAGGAAGGCATCCACCAGTTACACTGTATTTCTGCTGTGCAGCCTACTGGAAGTTCTGGGTCACAGTTGGACAAACACTCCACCAAACTGCTCGAGGTCATCAGGAGCAAGAGAGGACGCGTGAAAGAGCAGAGCGCCAGGATCTTACGAGTTTTAGATGAAGTATCTGAGAAGACTCAGCGGGATTTATAGCTGAATAGTTCTTTTGTGTAGATGTGAGTTAGATTTTAATTAATAGTAATTGTTCTTACTCAGACTGACATCACCATCATAAGAGAAGCTTAAAGCTCTGATGATCTATCTGAACCTGTGGAGCATCTTTTGAAAGAACACCAGGTAAGAAGTTATGATGCACTAACACGAGCAACATCCACACACCTGTTGTGTTTGAAATGCAACATTGCACGGTATATTTTTTCTTCTCCTTGCTATAGACTACTTTTATTTTTGTCGATTGAATTTGGGCTCAAATTGAAGTAACATCATGCCAGAGTGGGAGAAACAAATATATTTTGTGATGACTCTTTATTGTAGCACCTACATTCATTTTAACTGAGAACTCTTGTTGTAGTCTAGCTGGTAAACTGTCCAGAGTTTCAGAAAGTAAAGAGACTGTTGTGCTTTGGTAGTTCTCTGCACTCTTACTTGTCCTCATTTCTTTATTTTTGGTGTGTTTACAGGATGTGCAGGAGAATGACCAGCTGCATCTGGAAACCATGGCCATCTTTGTCACTGTGAGAGAGGATCCTTTCCATCCACCCAAATACATCAAGATAATCATGGATGAAGCACAGGTCCTGAATGAAGTGTCTTCTGTTGCACAGCTGTTGTCGTGTTCTTCAGGTTCATATACTCAATCTAAAATATCCAAAAATCTACAGGACACTCTTGAATTCATTCAAAACGTCCTGATGGAGCTTAGTGGGGAAAAGATGTCCCCAAAGGTTTATGGGCTGAGTACCAGCTTTGCAGCTGTTGAATTTGACTTAACTCACTTGATTTTATTTTTCCATTGGTTCTTTTACAACCAAGACAGTTATTTACCTTTTATGAGGTTTGTGTTCAGAGATTCCAGTTGCACAACAGCTTAAGTTTAGAGACTGCCAGTGTCACTGGTTATTGTTTTTGTGATTGTTATCTGGGAGTGGGGCTAAACTCGTTTATTTGTTTATCACAGACGAGAATTGACTCTCTAAGAGTCCAGCTCCGCCACGTAAGACCGGGCAGAGTAATAACAGATATTTTCCATCATAAAGCTGTTAAATACGATGTCGTCAACGCATGGATCTGGTGAGGCAAAAAAAGAGATGGACGATCACTGTTCCTCCCTCTGTGAGAGCAGACCTCCGACACTGGGAAAACCCCTGGTTTTTGTCGGAGGGAGCCCCCGTCAGCAGACCTACGTCAAACGTGTCAGTCTTCACAGACGTACCAGTGTCAGGTTGGGGGGTGACATGTCTATCTTGAGCTGTAGGGGCGCTGTGGCTTTTCTCACAACAGCTCATATAAACGTTCTGGAGGGTTGCACGGTTATGAATGTGATTCAACACTTTGCTCCTGTGCTACAGAATCAACGCAGCCCAAATGTTACACATTGTGAAGAAAGTACTGTGTTGGGCACACCAGAATCTGCTCTCCATCAGAGCAGTGTACATCCCCGTTGTTCTGTACAAGAGGCAGATGTGATGTCCAGGGACGGTCCGCGTCACGGGGAGTGGACCCTCCACCTCGGTCTGATGGCCCAGACGTGGCAGGAATTTGGCAAAGCGGCCGTGGACCTGTCTGTGACACGAGGAAACGCTCAGTGTACACTATGGGCTTCACTGAGCCCGCGAGACGAACCACCGCTAGGGGGTGGACGTGTTTGCTCATAGCCTATGGCCCAAAACAATTTTTACACGTTCCCCCACCTCCTCTGATATTACGGTTTTTTGAACCAAGTTCAGGGGGAGGGATTGACAGCTCTCCTAGTGGCTCCCGAGCGCGTGAACGCACCATGGTTCCGGTTCTACGACGCCTATTTTCGGGGCGCCCGTGGAAACTGTCGTGGAGGGAGGATGCTCTCCTCCAGGCGGGAGGAGCGATCAGGAGTTACCCAGAAATAGGCCAGCACCTGTGGGTCTGGCTGCTGAGCGGATCCGCTTAGAGAGGATGGGTCTCCCGCAAGATGTAGAGGCCACCTCATGTCCACTAGGTGGTGTGCTGTCTTTTCTGCTGCAGCTGATGGACAGAAATTTGGCGTTCAGCACAATTAAAACGTATCCTGCAGCCATCTCTTCCTGTCACTAAGGTTTTGCGGAGACAGAACAGCTTTTAATCATCCGCTGATGAAGCGTTTTGTAAAAGGTGTACAGAGAAAGGTGTAGAGGCTACCTCATGTCCACTAGGTGACGTGCTGTCTTTTCTGCAGCAGTCGATGGACAGAAATTTGGCGTTTCAGCACGATTAAACGTATGCTGCAGCCATCTCTTCTTGTCACAAAGATATCGGAGATGGAACAGCCTTTAATCATCCGCTGATGAAGCATTTTTTTTTAAAGGCGTACAGAGAAAGGTGAAGAGGCCACCTCATGTCCACTAGGTGGTGTGCTGTCCTTTCTGCAGCAACTGATGGACAGAAATTTGGTGTCTAGCACGATAAATGTATGCTGCAGCCATCTCTTCTTGTCACAAAGTTTTCGGGGACAGAACAGCTTTTAATCATCTGTTGATGAAACATTTTTTAAAAGGTGTACAGAGACGCAGGCCTGTTTTCACGCCCACTCTCTCCACAGTGGGATTTAACGCTGGTCCTGCGGACCCTGATCAAAGCTCCAGTCGAGCCCCTGAATCAGGTTCCAATTAAATTCTTGTCTCTTAAAACAGCCCTGCTGTTGGCTTTAACATCCGCTAAGAGGGTGAGTGATTTATCTGCCCTCTCTGTCGCTCCGTCATGTCTTAGAATTCAGGCTGATGGCAGCTCAGCTGATCTGAGACCTAATCCAGCTTTATGCCTAAAACATCACAAGCTCTTTTAAATCAAGAGCGATATCGTTGGAGGGTTTTTTCCCCTCCCCCCCACAATCAAAAGAAGAAACATCATGTTACATAGTGCGCACAGCTGCAATGCGTCAAACTCAACATTTGTTTGTGCTTTATAGAGATGCATCTGCAGGTCGCCTGTTATCCACCCAGCGTCTGTCACACTGGCTGTGTGAGGCCATTTCTGAAGCCTACAGAGCATCAGATTTAGAGCCTCCTGACAACCTCAGAGCACACTCGACCAGAGGTATCGCATCTTCGACTGCTCTGCGTAATGGTATGACAATGCAGGATATTTGCACTGCGGCCGCGTGGTCAACACCCTGCTCATTTATTCGCTTCTATCTACGTGAAGTGATGGCTCGCTCTATGACACATTCTGTCCTTAGTGTTTACAGAATGAATATTGTTGTTTCATGGAATCCCGTTTAACTCACATCTGTCTGCATGCATTACAGTGTGAGATGTTGTTATCAGTCACAATTTGTGACTGTTATTTTGGTTCTTTGGTCATTAATCAGTTCATGACTATTGTTACCAATCAGTTCATTTGATTAATAATCAGTTAACTTGCTATTTTTAATTTGTTCATACTGTTCAGCCGTGAAACTGTCACGATTCACGCCTGTCTGAGTTTATATTTTTGTCACTTTGTTC